TCCCCCATACTGAGTGCCTCAAAACAATCTCAAGTTTTGTCCTTTACTTAAATGGCTCTAGGTGGAAAAACAAACCCTTTAGACGTTTGATTAAAGTCAAGACCAATAGATGCTTCCTTTAGCTTCCTTTAGTTAGGTTCAGGAATTTGCAGCCATAGTTTTACACTTACTTATTACCATCACACGCTCATACAAGTTACTGCACACTTTCTAGGTTGCACAAGTCTAAATATTGAAACTCAATGGCTTCGCTACTTACCAGAAGAAAAAATAGATAGCAAGTCGTCGATCTTGTAAAAAAATGCGATCAGTCGGTTCTACGTCTTATCCTGAATGTAGATACATAGACGTTACATCAATTTTCTGCATAAGCGGTATCGTGATTCATTTTTGGTAGCATTTCAATGTGCGGTTGTTGAGACATTCCATATTAAGGGCTAAAGAATGGTACTTCGAAAGACGTGGGTTTTGGGAAATATTGGGTCCGATATCGAAAGCGTTTTTGATGGGTCTCGAAGTCTTGTTTTTTTGAGATTTTTACGTCTTGAAGTCTCAAAATTTTTGCCGATGGGTCTCGGAGTCTCGGATTTATCATTTTATCTTTCCTTTTGGTCTCAGGAGTCGAATTTTTCAGAGCTCATAGGTACAGCTTATCGAACTGAACCTGTAGATTAAGACAGTAAAACAAGACAAAGCAGCATATTGGTGGGCTTCCGCTGCTTCCATTGGCGTTTTCAATGAAACTGAAATGAGTCTTGTGTTTTGATTAGTTAACTAAGCAATATAAGAAGTTGAGTCTGTAATGCTCGCTTGCTTTCGATTGCTCAACTTGTTCTCAAACGTCATAATTTCGAACAAGCGTAAGGTCGATATGGGATTTAAGCTTTTTCTTTCTTTTGCGCGACTTCTCCATCCATGAAAAACGCATAAAAAACGTGACCAATATCTAGCCAGATATTGACCTCACACTTGGTCAATAACGAGTGTGCTGTTACACATGCTGATTGTTCCATATGTGGAGGTTTATGCCGTCAGTTTGATATATTATTTCCCAAAAATGTCTTGTCTAATGAGTTCTTACTCGTTTTCTGTTACCCGAGGCCCCACATACAGAGCGACAGAATAGGAATGTAAAATAAAAGACACCATCTTTATCCTTGAATTGTAGCTAGTACACTACAGTGCAAAGATTCATTGTTATGCTTCCTTCTTGCACCTTAAAACCCGATGATCACAGTATTTGCATATCCGCAATGTTTGCGCACAAACAGATCCATTTAACCAGAGTCAAAGGCCTGTATGTCGCTGCTATCTCATCCGTGAACCAGTCCATGAAAAGTTTTAAACGTCAGTATTTAATGAAATCTAATTCGAAGCTGAGTTTGAGGACACGAATATTCGTGTCTAAATCTTCAATACTAAGGCCGGCAGCCACCATATTTCCACAGTATGCCACATGCAGTATTTCCGCATGGAATTACTTAGCACAGAGAACGGAAACACGGTTTACCAACAGATTTTTTAATCGATCTCTCTGGTTTTAAGAGAGAATTGGTAGGTTTAGTTGGCGTGTTTGGCTGGTTTAAGATTAGGCGTAAGGGATCGTATCGGATCAGTCGAATGTAAAAATTAAATAAAATAGTTAAAATTATCCTATTTACAAAATGAGTAACGAAAACAACCTTGATACTTATTAAACAACTATATTAACTGGCTGAATTATCATCTTACATGTTTCTTTTAGGCGTTTGAATGTCAAAGAAATTTGTCTTAAAAAATAAGAAAGAAACATAATTAGTCTTGTAAGTATATTAAATTAAAAACAATGGATATTAGTATTTGACTTTTTCCCTTATAATACTTTCCTCCCCACCATATGAATAGGCATCAAGGAAGCAAATTGGTGGGATTGTTTTCCAAAAAAAAAATTCAAAACCCATGCTTGACTGCTATAATGAAATGAGAGACTAGTAGCAGACTGGAGATTAAATATGAGGCTATAAGTTCACAGTATACCAAATAATTTTTCGTGCCGACACAAAAGCTATCCGGTATCAAGTATGAACACTGACCTATCTGATATGTGACGCTCGGCGAGAGATCGGCGCAGCGCAGTGTTTCTCCCTTACAGAAAAAAACGCGTCGCAGTCACCTTTTCTTGTGCCGCGTGAACGGAAGTCCTATCTGGTATATATTTTGTGCCGGCGTAAAAGCTACCCAGGATGTAGTGTGAACAGAGACTGAGTAATTTTAATTCACTAAACCGCGGAAATATGGCATATGCCCTGGTTGCGCGACACCAAGAGCTTCCGTGGCTGGCACACTTCCTTCAAAAGAAAAACAAATATTTACTGGGAGCGACGTGATCTTCTATTTAAGGAGCAAGGGTGTTTTGTTTTGATTTAAAAACACTTTCTTGCGTCTGCGTTTTATATCAGGTTTTTTTCCCTTTGATATGGAAATACCTACTTTCCACGATCTAGAACCATTTTGACTGTGTACTAAACCTTCTGCAAAGTGTGCTAGTGTCTCAGAACGATGTCTAGTCTTGTTCCTTACTTAAAGGGCTCTTGGTGGAAAAAAAAAACTCTGCAGACGTTTGATTGAAATCGAGACCAATAGAGACCTTTAGTTTGGTTCAGGAATTTGCAGCCATAGTTTTACACTTACTTATTACCATCACACAGCCACAGGAAGTTTAGTGCACACTTGCTAGGTTGCGCAAGTCTAAATATTGAAAATCAATTGCTTCGCTACTTACCAGAAGTAAAATCATTTTACTTCTGGTAATTAGAGAAGCAATTGAAAAAAAGAAGAACGTCAGTGTCAATTACAATCTAGGGAAGGACTCAGGAACAGAAAACTAACTCACTAGTATAGCTATTCACTCAAAATTCTTCTATCCTGTAGAAACACCTGGATATGAAAACAAAAGTTGAAAGGAGACCAGAAAAAGCGCATGTATCTGAAGCTTGGCTCGAAAGCACAATCACCGACTTGCAAAAAATTTAAAAGCTGGGCGTTTAAAAGATATAGTCTTTGGCAATGTGCCTGAGGTCGAAAGCGTGAAGTGTGTCTACATGACAGAATTTTTAAAGAACATTTTCATTAGCATATGGAATTGAATGGAGCAAAAGAAACCAAAATAATGTGAGGAACAATCGTAAACTACCATCAGAAAAAATAAAAGTGCAGCAAAGCCGTGCCTTATTTATTTGTATAAAGTATTCAGTGCTAATATCCTTCAATACGGTGAAATGTCTGAAACAAAACCAGTGCAAATGCCCATCGCTTTTTTTTATTATTATTCCGGATACCTTTACGAGAGAGGTTCCAGAGGAAACGAAGAAGTGAATGAATGCGAGATAAAGCATAGTGAGGTCCACAATGTCAAAGATTACCAAACGTTTTTTTAAAGTTATTTGATTCAGTAAGCTTTCTTTTATTGGAAAATTTCAAAAGCAATATTCCAGTTTTGAAAATTCCGTTGGGACTGTCATTTACCACATACACAAATCACTGGGGCCATTTACAAAGATCGCACGGCCAGATCGCACCGAATGCCTAAAACTGGGAAACGATTTTCCTGTTAATTTCTGTCCCTCCATATCCCAGCCAATGCGCAGCCTTCTACCATTGAAGAAACGATGTCAGGGGATTGGGAATAAATCAGCGGCAGCCAATCACAGACTGTTTTACTTCCAGCGGCTCAAGTTACGTTCTATAAATCACTCAAGTAACGGAGCGATTTATGGTGGGTTTCTTGGAATGTGGTTTTTCTCTGTATTGATTCTTCGACGAATACCCCAATTACTTCGCTAAAAAGGTTAGTAAAACTACCTTAGAAACTTTAACATTTATCGTGTAGTAGAACTTTAAAATCTCCTCTTTAAATACATTCAGCGTGTTGTAAAGTTTCTCGAAGCTGTAAGCATAAGCTTATTTCAGATTTCAATCGAGATCTCGTGATTTTTCAAAAGGAAAATGGTACCATATTTTGACATGAATAGCTGCTGTGATTTTCCTTGTTTGCTGGAAATAACTCTGTGAAATAATTATTTAGCTTGTTATATTCATTTATATAAGTTGTGTCGAGACCCGAACGCTTTTAGCTCAAGTTCGTCATGTTCAGATAGTCCGCTGCAAGGGAATCAGCAGACATCAGCACATGCAATGATGTGTTGACGAGGATTTCCATGGAAGCCCGGAAGAACTACTATTTTCTAGTTTAAATATTATTTAATCTTGGACCCCTAACAAACTTCCTGCGTTGCTTATTAAGGCATTGTATTAAAACTTGTTCTTTTCTTTACAAGGTAGACTGAAGTTAAGCAGTCCAATTAAATAATGACGAAGGTCATTTTGAGTGCGATTGTTGTGGTGGTGTTTGAATTTATTTCCATAAACACAGGTAAAACTATATAAAGAAGCTTAAAACCTCACCTTAGTATAGCAAATTCTAAAACTCTTGTGATAATCAACTCAAGTTTTAAAATGGCTTGAAAGTATCGCATCATCCAAAAGAAAGTAAATGAAGGAAATGATATAATAGTACTGCATTGGAACTCTGGTGATTATGCAAATATTTAGTAACAAAATAGCGAGAGACTATAATATGATCTTAAAGCTTTCACGATGAAAGCAAAATCTTTTATTCCAGTGAGGGAAGGTACAAAAGAAAGTCTTGGTGGTGGAGAAAAAATATGTGTGAAGTTTTCTTCTACAATGTATATCCATGAGTTAAGGCAACAGATCATGAAATACTTTGACTTCAGCCTGGAAAATGCTGACCTTGATCATATGGTATGTTTTGTATTTTCCGATGGGGCAGTGTAAGATGCAGACTGCTGACTGACTGCAGACTATTGTTTTTAGGGTTAGAAAACAATGGGACTGTTGTTGTCATGTTCTCATTTGCATGGTGAAAACAATAGTCTGCGGTCTGTGGCATTTTACACTGACCAATTTTCCAATTTGGATCTGGCAAATACATAACTTATATGTCTCCTATCCATACAGCAATCCCTTGTCACCCCAGCTGCAGTGGTCAAGGAACATGTTTAAAAGATGGACAATGTCTGTGTTGGTGGGGATGGACTGGGCCTAATGCAAAGTACATTGTATCTGGGTCATTAAAGAACAGAATACTGGTGAGAGCTGAGTGACCTCCTTACAATTTATGGTGAAAAACAAGCAAACAAAGAAATCAGAAAAAAACATTTAACCTGATTTCATGTATTCTGGTTTGAGAACAGTAATGCGGATTCATTTATTTCTTTCACTCCTATGTCCCTTATAGACTACTGGTAGTTCACATGTGTCTAGAGCTGTGCAGTGCATTCAGAATTTTGCACCTAATTTTGCATATCCATATGCACGTGGCTAGTGCTAAAGCTACGGGGATTTCAAAACTTTGGATGAAAGGTTTCTTTGTGTAAATGTACGGTTGATGTGACTCTTTGACCTACTGTTTCAATATTGAACTTCTCATTTCTACCGAAGTAGAGAGGAGAATTTGTTGAAGTATGAACTTGTTCTATATTTCATCTTTTGCGATCCTGTCCTTATTATTCTTGTCAACAACTTGTTTCATAAAGCATTGCTATTATAAACAGAAATTTTATGCTGATCACTCCTAAATTAAATGGGTTATGTCTCAGTTGAGATACTATGAGAAAACAGCTCACATTCTGTGATGCCACCACTGGTTTCCTCACAAAATGAGAACTGAGGGGAAGACAAGATGACTGGACCGATGATGTGTTAATTAGGCTGGTTTTCACTAGCAATGGAGTCAGAGTCAGAGGTGTAAGCGGAGTCATTAGAGTGCTTATGATCTAGTGAAAATAAAAAATCAGAGCTAAGTGGAGTCATAAGCGTGACGGAATTGGAGTCAGAAGAATCAGATTATTTCCATTTCTTCTGACTCTGTTTATGACTCTGTTGCTTATGTTCCACTTATGATCTAGTGAAAAGCAGATTGTCCGAGTCAGAAGCAGAAGCAGAAGGATAAGCCAATCATAATGCACGTTCTCACACTTTGTGATTAGTTTAGTTCTTCTGCTTCTGCCGCTGACTCCGACAGTCTAGTTTTCAATGGATTATTATAAGCGGAATGTAAGCAACGAAGTCGTAAGCAGAATCGGAACGCTGTTTCCACTAGATCAGAAGCTCTACACTTCTTTTTCCGACTCCGACTCCGACTCTGTCGCTAGTGAAAACCAGCCTTTACTACCCAGATCTGGATAGTGCTTCTCCGTGGTTGAAGCAGATTTCTTCCATGGCATGCACTAATCCGAAGCACTACCAGATCTGGGTAGTGACAACATGTCATAGATGTCAATACCCTCATTAGTTCTTCAGACATCATTTCATGGGGAAACGGCTGTTTTCTATAAGGCTACAGCTGGTAAGGAAAGAGTAATTTGCTTTTTCTCCTTAATTTTTAGGCAGACTACTGCACAACTGCGTGCCATTATACTCATGTCTTTCAAAATCCTTTGTGTGCCATCATCCCCACGAGGACCCCATGCAATCCATTATGTGGCACAGGTACAGCTGATGTCTAATATTTTGGTAGCTCATTATTTATGTAGGTAACAAAATGTTGTTCAGAAGTGGCACAAAATCCTTTTTTTTCTATTATTTGGAGATGTTACTGTAAGTGAAAAAACATTGTCTTTTTATTCTGTGCAAAAACAGTACAACAAGCTTAAGGTATTTGCGATTTCTTATTGGTAGTTATGTTGGCATGAGAACAATCATCTGCATGGCATATAGGTCAAGAAAAGCCTCATTGTTTTGTATAGAAAATAATTAAAAGTTTTCTACTCATAATCACAAAAATGTAGCTTAGAAAGGTTCTTAAATCCTTCTAAAAGTATTACCTCTCAAAACAATCGCGTAAGCAATATCCCAAACTGAAGTTGCTGTGAAGGTATATTCCTGGCCCTTAGTACATAGTGATACCACTACATTCTTTGCCTTGGTTACAGTGCTCTGCTCTAAGAGGAGTCGNGAAACGGCTGTTTTCTATAAGGCTACAGCTGGTAAGGAAAGAGTAATTTGCTTTTTCTCCTTAATTTTTAGGCAGACTACTGCACAACTGCGTGCCATTATACTCATGTCTTTCAAAATCCTTTGTGTGCCATCATCCCCACGAGGACCCCATGCAATCCATTATGTGGCACAGGTACAGCTGATGTCTAATATTTTGGTAGCTCATTATTTATGTAGGTAACAAAATGTTGTTCAGAAGTGGCACAAAATCCTTTTTTTTCTATTATTTGGAGATGTTACTGTAAGTGAAAAAACATTGTCTTTTTATTCTGTGCAAAAACAGTACAACAAGCTTAAGGTATTTGCGATTTCTTATTGGTAGTTATGTTGGCATGAGAACAATCATCTGCATGGCATATAGGTCAAGAAAAGCCTCATTGTTTTGTATAGAAAATAATTAAAAGTTTTCTACTCATAATCACAAAAATGTAGCTTAGAAAGGTTCTTAAATCCTTCTAAAAGTATTACCTCTCAAAACAATCGCGTAAGCAATATCCCAAACTGAAGTTGCTGTGAAGGTATATTCCTGGCCCTTAGTACATAGTGATACCACTACATTCTTTGCCTTGGTTACAGTGCTCTGCTCTAAGAGGAGTCGCAGAAAGCCAAGCTGAGTCTTGGGGCACTGTTTTTGTTTAGGAAAGTACAATATTATTATTTTTATAGCTGATACTGGTTGACTTCTAAATTATCACAGGGACATACAATGGCCTGGGAAGATGTCTGCCCAATGGGCGTTGTCTCTGCTGGTGGGGCTGGACTGGCCCTAATGCCACTTATATCAATGGAGGGATGTACACCAACAGAATTGTGGTAAGGATCATGTTGTAGCAAGGAGAAGAGAAGTGAGGAGTGAAAAAAAGAGGGTAGTAGGGGTCGGGGTGGCCTGAATTTTGGTCGACTTACTTTGCTGCATTTTCTTGGGTCTCCGGGCTGATTCCTCTACAGAACAAAAAGGAGTGGCTAAGAAAGTCATGTCTGATAGCCCAGGGATGGTGAGTTTTGGTATTGGCCTGGTAAATTTTGCTCTTAACTTGCTTGATGGGCTAGTGAAGTTTTTTGGGATGATTCAAATAACAGAAGAACTGTAATCAATCCTGCTTGTCAAAAATTTTTTCAGGCTATTTAAAATGGCCGTTGGATTAGTTAGTAATCAGATATGCTAGTTAAAAACTTGCCCAAAGGGTAAGCTGTAAAACTGACTTTTTTTGCACCCTGAAAAAATTTATTTCACACTTATGGGTTTGTTTTTATTCCTCAAAGGCTGATAGCTGTACTAAAAGCTGCAGCTACACACAGGTTTACAGAAATAACAAATGTGTTAGAGCTTCAACAACAACCAAACCATCAACACAGCCACTGAGTACAGGAAGCCCAACAACAGGGATACCAAGTACAGTGAAACCAACTATCCCCCAAGTGTGCAGTGTGCCAGTTAACAAAACTGTGCCGCCCCTCTCCTGTGATCCACTATGTGGTTCAGGTAACGTCTGTTCCTTGAAAACAGTGTATTATAGATAAAATCTCAAGAGTTGTTTACTTACTATTAAAGCACAAGTAGAGAGAGTATGAGCAAAGACAATATCAGCCACTTTACACTTCAACACCATCTATGTAAAAAATCAGTAAGTGCTACTCGTCTAGGTTGTGGTGCTTATTGGGGGGGGGGGGGGGGGGGGGNTTTTAAGTGTGATTTGTATTCAAGGGCCACACTGTTCAAGTAAATACAGTATATGGAACTGGTTCTTTAATTTTCAAACAAGTTTGTAAGGGCAACCTACACAAAGGATTTCACACTAATCTGCCGTGCTTGGCAGAGGTAAAAGAAGGTTCCCCTTCCGCCCTCCCTTGACAAGATGTTCCAGTCTTGTTTGAGAATGTCACTGAATTTTGGTTGCAGGTCCAACTTATCACAGTACTGGACAGTGTCTTTCCAATGGGCGTTGTCTCTGCTGGTGGGGGTGGACTGGTGCAAATGCCTGCTATGTTGATGGAGGAATTTATAACAACAGAATTTTGGTAGGTGTTGTTGTTACATGATTTTAGGGAATTGTTAAGCTTACTTGGCTTTTAGGTATCATTAGTAGCTCTGTCAGTTGTTTGTGTTTATGGTATAACAAGGGGGTCCTCCCATGTCATGCACATTTATTTTTGTTTTATTTTTCTCTCCAAAGGCTGACAGTTGTGTTAAAGGGTGCCATTACACACATATGTACAGAAATAATAAGTGTGTTACAGCTGCACCAACAACCAAACCGTCAACACTGCCACCGAGTACAGGGAGCCCAACATCCATTCCCTTGACAACTGTGATACCCAGCACGGGGGCTCCAAGTACTGTGAAACCAACTACAGGGAAACCAGTACGTGCAACTACAAGAAGTCCAACAACAGGCATGCCAACAACAGTGAAACCAACTACAGGGAAGTCAAGCACTCTGAATCCAACCACAGGTAACCCAACATCATCAAATCCAACCACAGGAAAACAAATAACTACAGTACCACCAAGTACAAAAACCCAAACAACAGGCTTTCCAACTAAATTCAAACCAACCTCAGGCCAGTCTAGCACTATGAAACCAACCACAGGTAACCCATCTAATCCAACCACACGAAAACAAGCAACTACACCGCCATCAACTACAAAAAGTCAACCGACATGGTACCCAACTACACTGAAACCAACCACACGGAAGTCAAGCACTATGAAATCAACCGCAGGAAACCCTACTACCATGTATGCACCTCCAACAAGGCAAAGCACTAGTACAGTAAAAGTAACCACAGGACAACCATCAACAAAACAGAAGACAAGTCAGCAACCTGCAAGTACAAAAACAGTAAAACCATCCACGAAGGTGTTGACAACACAAGCCCCAATACCCACGACCACAGCTGCTGCTACCACAACCCAAGCTACCACTATAGAGCCAACTGAGCCTCCAGAGCCCACTGAGCCTCCAGAGCCCACAGAACCTCCTGAGGCCAATGATGATACTCTTGAAGCGCTTGCGAACGTTCAAGTAAGGATGCTGTAAACACCCAATACTGTGTGTAAATTAAGACCATGGGTCTCATCAGTGTGGCATACCCCTAGGGAGACTACATTGCTTGAAAGTTACAGGGCTTGAAAACAATTTTTAATTCCAGGTGAAAGCAGCTCTTAATTTTCGCTTGCTCCCAGGGGAATAGGGGAAGCTACAATGTACATGCTCCTGGTAGTTTACTTTTTAGTCAGAAAATGACTTGCTGGGTCCTTGCCGATCAGGCAAGTACATTTACATACATAAGTGAAAGTGTGAAAAGTTACTTGCCTGAATAGAAAATCTACTTGGGACTGTTTTCAAGCCCTGAGTAACTATGTATGAAATTCCCTGCACTGAATATGTAGACTGTCTGCCATGGCCTGCTACCATGGCTGTAGAGACGGGGCTTGACTCTATATTTTGTTGGAAGGGTTTGCCCTGCAAGTAAATCATTTTTGTTACCAATTCTATTACCAAGAACTTTGTTAAGCTAAATACAGATAGCATGGTTTAAGTCGTCCCTTGGCAAGCCATTAGCAGACTCCACTCTAACAAGCCATGTTTTGTTCCCCACCATAGTTACAAAATGATGCTGAAGTTGCAAAGTCAAAAGAAAGTGGAAAGAAAGAAGTCAAGAAGGAGAAGGATTTCAGCCCCACAGCACTGGTGATAGTTGGCGTTGTGTTGCTGCTTTGTGTTATGGGTTTGGTGATTGCTGTTTGGTGGACATATGGCAATGGAAGCCAGGTCCCCAGTCTTCTGCGTGGCTATGAACCAGTTGAAGGTGGGGATTCCAACATGATGATGCAGGAGTTATCACAGACAGCTCCACTGCCTTAGTGAAGAATGAGCAATTTATAGAGATTGGTTGTGATCTGTTCTTACATTAAATAAAAAATATATTAGGTTTGATTACTAGATGCATTTTATGCATTAAAACTGAGGGCGTGTTCCACTACCGTCATCATTAATAGAAGGGGTGCATGGGATAAATCCTCTAGTGACTTTTCCTGTAACACCCAATTTCACCAGCAGTCACCAGCAAAACAAGGAAATTTGTGTGAGAATCGATTAATTTATCAGAAGTCTATTAGGGTTTTAGAACAAATTTTTACATAACATTTTGTGCTGATTCATGCTCTTACATATACTAGCTATACAGTGATGTAGATGAATAAAATTTTGTATCCAGTAGATAAATACAAATTATCATTAGCAAAACTGAATTTTTGTAACTTGTTTTCAAATTGTCATTATTTTACACTCTGTGCAACTGTTACCATTTTATAATCTCTAAAGTATAGACTATGTTATAGCAGCATTATGGAACTGATGATTCAGTAGTTTTTTATGCCTTGATGACATATATTACTAGATATTTTTATTAACATAGCATGAAGTGAAATGACTTTTTTGATTGATAGTTTGAACATGACAGAAATGTATCTGAGAAAAATGACTAAAATAACTGCTGTTTAATAGTTTAAAATATAGGTTACGGTTGAACCTCGATTATCTGGATTCTTTGGGACTTGAGTAAATAGTCCGGATAATTGAGAGTCCGGATAATATGAATATTAATGAGACAAAAATGAAAACATAGGGAATAAAGAAAACAAAATTTAATTGTGAATAAGCTTTTTACTTGAATTTATGTACGAATGGCAAGTATTTATGTATTTTCAATTCTTTGCTCATCTCGATGCTGTCGGTAAATTTCAGGATCTTCTCTTTGTTTTTGCGTATATCTGAGATCCGCTGCTTGCTGATTTTAAACTCGAGTGCTAAATATATTTGTTCCTTTTTCTCCTTTCTCCAAACGTGAAATAATCATTTGCTTATCCTTTATCAAGAGAATGGACTGCTTTGGTTGCATAGACATGCCTGTGATTTGAGTTTACCATCAAGTGGTCTTGTGTTTACATAACCAACAAAGCAATATTGAGCCAATCAGAATTCAGTTGAATGCATCAGAACAATAATTGTTCATCTCGTTCAGGTCGTGATTTTTCAACGCAAAACAGATTAAAACAGTGTTTCAAACACATGTTTGGAAGGATAATTGAACTTTTAATCGTTTCAGTTTTTCAAGATCACATCTTATTAATATTCATGAAAAGAAACGGGACCAGGGAAACAAGTCTGGATAATCGAAAAGTCTGGATAACCCAGGTCCGGATAATCGAGGCTCGACTGTATTAGAAAGTAGTTTTTTCATTACCCATTAAATTAATGCCTGGAGAGAAATCATTAAAGTTACTAAAGGAACTCTTTTGATGATAAATTTTACTTCAGAGGTAGTGTTTTGGAGGTTAAAATTTAATTTATTCATAAATATACATATATGTCTACTAAAGTAAAAGAGATTTAATCATATTAGTTTAGCCTAGTATTTAGATATAATGTAGTGGTACTCAATTATGGTCATACATTTGAGAACAGAGGTTATCCCAGATTGTCATAACAAAAAGAAGATTTTTTTAAGACCAAGAGATTTACGTCATGTGAATTCACTCTATAGAACTGTATTGTTACAATCATCAATGTTAAAATTAAAGAAACCAAAACAGAGATGGAAAAGTGGAGGTGTAAATAATTGATTGTTGTGCCATACACCATACTGATAATTTGTATTTGAGAATGAGAATTGTCTTACTATAAGGTTAGACAGTAACACTGCAGAGCATTTATTTTTCATCTTCTCTAAAGAGGTGATCTTGTGAACCTTACTGTTCTTTTCAGTAACATGCGAACCGTCAAGTCAAAACTCTAACCAACGTTTTACATTTTTTGCTTCTGTCAATCACCCTGACAGACCACTTAGGAAACACAGCTTTTCTTCAGCAGGTTTTAAAGGTCATGTCTGTCAGATGTGATATCTAGATTTCGAATCCATTTTGCTTTGTTTGTTTTGTTGTAATTAAGATTGACAGAAGCAAAAACCATAACTGGTTCCATTCTTTGACTTTTGAGTTTCCATGTTATTGAAATTGTTAAAGAGAGGTTTCCAAAACATTTTAGTTTACTTTCGAATGTGTCTTAAAGTGCACACTGTAAGTCTGCTTTGACTGTCATTGTCCACTCAGATGGCAAACTTCAATCTCATCACCAGAGCCTTCTGATCTTGCAGCTGCACATGACCCAAACCTCTTCTCATCCATAGTCATGCTTATTAGAGAAGAGCACTGGGGTTAAGAATGTGCAAACTTCTGACTATCCTTTCAAATCCTACTTCACCTTGCATTCTGTCAGTTTAGTGAGCAGTTTTTTATTCTTAAACCTTTCGATGACATTGAATGTCCATTGTATTGTTAAAACTTGTTACTGCTTCAGTGTCCTTTTCAGGGGCTGGTTCAATGTTCAAACGATGAATAGTGCTATCTACCAAATAAATCACTTTCCAGCGGATAAGTATTAGGGACACCCATATATTGCATTATCCAATGGATGGCGTTACCCACCTTTTGAACAGATGGCGATTTCACTAACCATACTTCCTTGAAACGACATGGCTTTTACATAAATCTCATTTCTTATTATCACTATTTCCTTGGTACACTCACTGCTTTGCGAAGTGTAGCACAGTTTGTTTGAACTCTTTGCATGGTGATGCGACTAAGTTCTGCTTCCTCTTGTCCTTTTCTAACTGTTGCTTGATAATCCAGTTGTAACATTTCCGAATCTAATGGAATGGCATTTACACCGGAGGACAGGAGCTTTTCATGAAGCGTGTCTGTCAGTTTGGACAAGCCATCCAAGTCAGCTAGTTCATGTAAAAGGAAATGAACTAAATTAAATGGTGGACGCCTTAGCCCCTCTCAAACAACAGGGCCGAATTACAGAGTTTTGCCGTACTGTTGCAGAGTGATACAATAGTGAAAGTCTCTCGAAGCCAGACAACATTGAGACCTGTACCAAGGGCTTGTCTAGAATGTTATTCCATATGAGTACTTACTGCCAGGTGCAGTCATCTTGGTTTCATATGTACTAAAGGGGTGGTTGTTTTTAGTGGTGGGGGGAGAGGCCCTGTAAGGGTAAAATTTTGACAAGCAACAAAGCCTTAAAAAAACAGCGACACACGACTAGATGAAATGAATGAGTTAGTACCACCAGAGACACGCCCTACTCCTCAAAATGGCAAATGACTGTACAGTGGAGGCTCTGCTAATGGACACTCTCATGAGCGGAGAGCTCTACTTGCAGCCACCTTCACAATATGTCGTTTTTCTCAACTCCCATACAAACTCTGTATTTTTAACTTCCCGTAAGCAGCGAGCCCCAGTTACAGAAACCTTTTTCCCCGTCCCGAGGGTGTCCGTTTATGAGAGCTTCCTCTGTATTTGAAATTCAGACTAGGGACATACGAACCCCCCCTCAGAGGGCCTCGGGGGAGGGAAAAAGAAAAAATTTGTCACCCCTGACCCCTTAGTAGATTTCAAAACGTTGAGATTGCCACTCCCTAAATACCAAAATAGGAGTAGAAAGTAAATTTCCTTATTTGTGTATTTCAAGGAAATACACATACCCACCCCATGGAGGAACACTGGAAATTTCTGGGGTGTGGGGCGAAGGGGGGAGGGTGGTGTTGAAAGCCAAAATTTGTAGTGAACAGCTAAACTGGAATTTCCAGATGGGGTCGGGAAAGGAACAAACCAATATAAACTCCTAACGGCCAGGGGAGTATGGCAATTTTCTAGATCTACACATCATATTAAAAGTTAATCCTTTACTTTGTACCTACTTTTGGCATCCTCAGTTGAGTACGTCATACCAGATCCCATTTGCCTACAAAAAATATTAAAATCATTATTGTTATAGGACTTTGCTTCTCTCGTAGGGTGTGTACGTTGTGGTTCAATTTTATCCTTGGTTTCAATGTCATTTCCCTTTGTTTTAAACTCATTACCATACCCTTAAACAAAAAGAAATAAACTTTAAACCAAGGATAAAATTGAATCACAACGCGTACATCGCTTTTAAAGCGTGTATAAACGTAAGCTTATGTTTTCAAATTAATTTCATCAGGCTGTTTCATCATTGTCCACCGTGATGTTGGTCAAAGGTGACAAAGAAACCACGATTTTTTTTCTTACAAAAGAGTAAGTTAAACTTACATGGCCGTAAAAAATTTACCAGCTTGTTGATGAACTAAATCCAAAACGGAGTCAAGATCGTTCATTTTCAGATCGGCGGCCGCCGCCATGTTATTCATCTGCTGTTTTTTTACGAGAATCCGCTGTTCAGGATTAGAAACGAAATACATCTGAGGTGGGGAGGGGACGGGGAGGACGAGAGTATCAATTGTAAATTCCAGTTATTTTCTAACCTTGAAATACATATAAAGTCTAAAATGTCTTAAAAGTTCAATACTTAACGCATTCAAAGTATCTTGTTAGTCAAATTTCTTCATTTCCTTTTACTATTAAGATTTAGTATTAAAACTAATAGGTGTAACCTTAGCCTCCCCTCCCTCGCAATGAATTGATTACAATCATGGCGCCCTGTGGTGATGCCAAGCAATTTCCTTCTTTGTTTATGTTTTGAAATTTTTCGTGTAAGTTTTACAAATTTCCTTCCATCAACATGGATTTTTCGCCAGTAGCCATTAAAGAAGCAAATACTCACATTCAAGGATTAATGAAACGCATTCACGAGCTTGAGGAACAAGTGAAAGAATTATCGGGGGCTCTGAAGAAGCAAAACGAAGCACACGCCGAGAATTTAAAGGTCCTTCCTCTTCGAATGCATCAAACTTTGAGACAGAGAGATGAAGAAATAACAGAACTGAAAGAAAAACTCAAATCATCGGAGGCTGAAATCAAGAGGCTTGTCCAAGAAGCGAGCGAAAAGGAGCAACTGTTTCAATACTTAAAGAATCGCTCAAGAGTTCTGGACGAAATTTTGAAACATCGAGACGCCTTCGAGAGTGTTTTAACATGTCTAAGTGTCTTAGAAGATTCTGACTATTGTACCACGCCTAATGAAGGAAAGGTTTCTCTAAATGGCGCCCCCAGAGAAACTGATTTGTTGGACAGCGAGGATGAAGACATAAATGGCAATACAAATTCACCAGTCAAAAGAGCTGACAGTGGATATGAACCAGGAGCTAATACTAGCTCTTCGTCGCTTGATATAGGAAATGGTGGAGCAAATGGAAAAGGTGCGTTTAAACAGGAAAATCCATTTGGAGATGTGTTTCTACCGCAAGGAGAAGAGCCACCGCCTTGTTTTGTCTAAACTACTGTAGGAGTACGAACTAAAAGAAACGTAAGATTTATGACTGCCACTGGTGATAGGCCAATATAATTAAATAAAAAAAAATGTTACTTTAAGCATGTTTGTCATATGACTCTAAATTCAATTTTTTTTTTGCACAGAAAAGCCCAGGAGATACCCATATAAAGGATGTAAAAACCACGATTGTCATAAAACAAAGATAACAAAGGAGTCAACCACTTATAGGAAAATGATGGTGTCAAAACAAAGAAAACTTTCACAGATATTTTTTTACTCAGATTATAACCCAAAATGTTTGTATTGGTACTGCCTATGAGGATGCTAAAACGAGAGGTGATCACTGCTAGGGTTATAACTACTCATAAGGGGGTGTTTAGATGACAGCGGGGCGGCTTTCGCCCCGGAGCGAGTTCACTCCGGTTCCCTCTCATGGCTCTATATTTGTTTACATGATACCACCACAAAATGTCATGCAGGCGCGAGTCACCCCAGCGTGAGTTCACCCCGGTTCTTGTACCAGGGCGAAAATTTCATTCCGGTATGAAATCTCGCAACAGTATCATTTTAACGCGAAATGACCACCCGTTTCAGTGGGAAATCGGTCTGCTGGTACACTGGAACGGGTAGCGCATGCGTTATGTTTCTGATTTTGAATCAGACGTGTATTTTAATAACATGAAGTGTACCTTCAAATAAAGGGATATGAAATGGCCCAGTCATCATGTAAACGCAATACGAAATCAAAAAGTCATCCTGGTATGAAACTCGCACCGGTGGGAGTTTTCTCCTGTAAACACCCCCTAAGTCAATAAGGTCATCTTAACTACCAGTGAAAAAAAATTGTCAGTGGCACCTTGGGGGTGGGAGGAATGGGGGATTGAAAATGAATTTCAGCTATGCCCTTGAAACGCAAACACCCCTGCCTTAGGAAGTTCACCCCCCCCCTTCCCCCCATCCTAGGGCATTATTTATAGAGATTGGCATGATATTCAAAGATGATAGTTGCCCTGTAAGGATGCATCATTGCAGAGGCAGAAGATCACTTTACTTGTCTTGTGTATCAAAAGGGCATGGAAATGCCCAGTTCTTGCTTCCATTGGGATCCACCCTTTGACCAGGGTAGTTTTCTGAGGGGGAGACCTTGAGGTTCTCTTTCAAAATACCTTAAACACTAATATCATTATTTACTATAATTTGGATGAGGCTGAGTAGGTTCTGATGAATTATGAAGTTTGAGGAGGGTGTTATCTGCAGAGGTTGAAAATCCCAAACTCAAACAGGGCATCTACATTGGACACAATGTGTACAACATTAACAGGGTATACTAGAACACTAGCCATAGCTTGGTTATTGACAACATATTGACCTAATCCTAGGATAGGGTGCAATGTTTTTTTTTAATGGGTCCAAATTTGGAGACCTGAGTAACACATACCCAGCCAAAATCAACCTGAATACCAATCCCTGGAGAGGGGCAGGGGGCACACATTATTTCTTTCTTCTCCAAATCATTCCCTATTTCCTCAGTTTGAAAATGGTGGTTCTCTAATGTTAAAGAGTGTCAGTAGGGCTTTCCACAAGTTGCTCAGCCAATTTTTGGCAACTCCTCGCATTTTGAGCAACTTTTTGCATTCTGATTAATTTCTCTAGTTTTCCCGCAATTTCTGAGGTATTGGAAAAGCCTTAAGTGCTTAAATTGGCAAAAGAACCCTTTTTTAATTAAAACCATCCTTGAGTTTCAGTGGGGGATTATTTTCCAGTGCAATGTAACCCTACTCCTATTGTAAGGTATTTGAACTATAATTCAAGCAGTTTTAACAGAAATGTTTGAAATGGCACACAAACCGGCTGCCAGAAAATAAGTAATTGTTGTTATGCTATGCACTTATCTTTTTGCACAAGCATCATGGAGAATTTATTGTCCAAAACCCAAAAGTGCCTGTTGAGAAAACTCAGGGCAAACTGAATTTAGAAATAAAGGGACTTCTAGACATATATCATGACATTTTGGGCATATTTTCATTAATACCAGTGTTTATTGTAAACTCCTTACAAGGCTTCACATGTTACTAGGGCTAGGTTTCTGATCCACAAGATTTGACGCTCATGCAAACAAATGGAATGGCCATGGAATGGCTTAATAATAATATTATATTCGAGTATTTATACTTATTTTGTCGAGTTAGAAGTTTCCATTTTTGTTATTTCTTGTATTGGTAATTTTTATCATCTGTCTGCCCTCTTATATGAGACACCTCGTGACATTGCTTTTACTGAAATAATAAATATTATATTAAAAATAAGATAAATAAATTATTATTATTATTTTATATCTTTAGATTCCAAATGAAAACTCCAAAATTTATTTTATCTTAGTTTAATTTTTTTAAAGTGATGAATTTATTATTATTATTATTATTATTATTATTATTATTATTATTATTATTATTATTTGCAATGTAGCCATCACGTTCAATTTAGGGTGTTATTACTTTTGACTGGGGATCTTCTTTGAAAATCCCAATAGAGCTTCCTAAGATCTTCCACCTTTGTAAACCAATGAATTGTAACTAGTGGACATATATGTATCGTGATGGGCGAAATAAAATCAGACCCATCAACCCTTAAAGTAAGCGCATGTAAAAATGACGGGCATCTTGAATAAGGTCTGTTTTGCTCACCAGAACCTCTGAGAAAAACCTGACTGTGTTCGGAGAAATCAAGGGGGCTAAAATGGGCAAACGAGTGGGCGAACTTAAGAGCAGCGCGTGGGATCACGTGGTTATCGACGTGTATCAGGGACGTTTCGCAAGAGAGAAATAAGAAATGTCCCTCGCGGCGTAGCCTGAGTATCAGGCGTTCGTGGAGGAAAGGGGGAAAGACGAAAGCGAAAAAGGGAGAGAGCTTCCTTCAGCTCTCTCCCCCCTCCCCTCTCCCCCATCTAAAATCTCCTCTCCCCTAGCCCCTTAGAAAGGCCTGATACTCAGGCTACTCGCGGCGAGGCGCCAGGAGAGAAGGTTGCGTTGCTAGGACGCTGGTAACAAGCAAACGAGTGGGCGCGTCCAGCGCTTTGAATCACGTGCTCGTTGGCGCCTGTCAAAAGTTTATCTCAATTCAAAACATCCGGTCTCCTGCCTTCCTCTTTATCTGCTTACAGTACAAATACTAAAACGGAAGTTGTGAAAAATTGCAACCTCTAAAGTCGCTTTCTTTTAACATCGTATAAAACTAGAACGTAGTTGAAAATGAGTTGGTCTTTCTTGAAAAATGAAAATGGCAACAGCTTCGGTTCTTCTTCACGCGAATCCTTTGTTTGATTGAAGTTCCCTTACTTCACACAACGCCGAATGTTTTTTTTTTCTTTTCTAAACTGCCTTTGAAATGGAAACCTTATTGCCTCATCCACGTCACGGCAATGCGAAATTTCAGGTCGTTTTAGTAAGCCGAGCAAACGAATCCGAGAATTCTTGCAGAAAAGAACAGAGATTATGGAAACGTGTTCTGAAACATGTAACGCTACGGTAACTCCACCCGCCGATAATACTACAAGGGTCACTGCGTAAAAAATTGTATCACTCAAAGTGCAAATTTATGTTTCCAGTACTGCTGTTTCGTTTTGAAAGAAGCGCAATGGGAAACCCGCCTTCGTACGACACGGACAGCTGACAGCTTTTTACACTTGACATTACTTGGGAGTGTTGCGTCGGAAACGCAAAAGTTCTTTACTGACCAAAAATCGATTATTTTTTTTATCCCAGAACCAGATATAACAGGCCACCTCGCTCGCATAACTTGATAACCATAACAAAAACACGAAATTAAAACTCAAAATCGATGCTTTTGTCTTGTTGCGGCGTTACCTCGTGGCAACATCTGCGCTGTGATACGACTTAGCAGAAGCGATCCAAATCTGCTGTCTTTCTGTTCTAAAACTTCACTCCTTTCTGGAATATTCAAGGTAAGATTAGATTCCTTATGGCTAAAAAGTAATTTGAAAGGGTGTTCAGCCTTTTTTATGGTTAGGTAAGTGATCAAAATACTTTTAATGTCAGAGAGATTAATGCGCTCGAAATATTTTGTAATTTACCTCTTCAATTTCGGTGATGGTGTAGGTATTTCTTGGCCAAGTTAAGGCAGTCTTATCGCACTTTTACGTTTGTACATGGTTTAGGGCCTCAAATAAAACCACGATGACAAACCAGTGAGAAAAAGTTAGTGTCAGCAGTCAAATTGAAAGTTACCTATATTCTTAAACTGATTGCACGGTTTGGGCGTCACTGTCATCTACTCATTCAATGAGTGTTAGGTTTTAGAATAATTTGTCCTCGATATATAGCACGGTTTGAATACTGCTGCTACGGAGTTCACTTTCGTTTCAGTGAGGGTTAATATATGTTGCAAGTAGAACGCAATGCGTGACACAAGTCCGGGAGTTTTATCGTGACCTGCGATGAGTGCCATAAAAGACTTGTCGGACCGCGTGCGATTCAACGAAGGCACAATATACATTTTGCACATTAACATTTTAAAAATTCTCCCTTTACTGTTAAACTTTTATATAAAATACTCAAAAGGGACATCATTTTTGTAATAAAATAAATTAAACTCAGCATAATGTTGTTTTACAGCCGTGAAAATGAGTCAAGGTGAAAAACAAATCTTTTATATTTCGACTTTTTAGTTCTCTGCTCTGAATCATTTCAAAGAATATGGTAATTAGTCTTCCATAATGGCTACTGACAATTGCAAGTAACTCTGCCCTCTCAAGAAAGTCAGAGTCCGTAGAATCGAATATGGCTGAAGAAAAAACAATTTAAAACAGGTCGTCATGTAGTAAAATAAAGAACTAAAAACAAGAAATTGAACAAAGAAACCTTGAGAACGTGTGCCGTGCTCTCTGTCTATTTTATTTTTTCCTCCTGAGAAAACATTCGGGAATCTATTAATCTTTTAAATAATCAACTCGAAGTCTTTACAAACAGAAATTTGTCGTAAATTTTTCGAAAATTTTACATTTAAAACTTTATGAAAAACTGGTTTAATAAATAGCTGGGGAGGCTTAATGACAACGAAAAACGGCAAAATTTTTACGATGGTGTGCAGGTGCCAATTTTGATAATTTATGTTTGGCACAATGAATGATTCCCCTGTGTGAATTAATGAAGTTTGCTATTTTCCCCTTTGTCCGTTTCTGTTTTGACAAAACATCCAGTGTATCATAATTGGGTTTAGAGATAAAGCAATAAATTATCAATGGCGTCGCTTTTGTTTTCGCTAGACACACTGCACTTTGTTGAGTCCGGTCCGCGGAACAGTTGAGAGGGTTTTAAATTACTTGAGTTATGAATTCGTGGCCAAGATATAAATCTTTTTTTTTTCGTACCGGCTTTCGTCATTGATAACTTGAATTCGATTAGTTGAACATGACCGCCACACGTTTATCGCCTGCAGTAATAAGTTTGGCACAAAAGTGGAAAGCAGTTCTTTATTTAATATTGAGTCAGTGGTCGAATTCAAAGTAGACAGACTGCAAATTATAGTAGTTGCTAAAAATTGTGGTTTCTTATAATACTAAATGTATATAAAAGCTTTTTGTTCTGTTACAGATCTACAAATTCAACAACATTTTCTTCTAAAATTTCCTCTCCTCCTAGTTAAAAAAAAGGAACCCATGGGCGACAGCCAGGGCGTAGTGAAGTTGGATTGGAACTTTGAAGGATGGAGGGACAAAACAAAGGCCATAAAAGAGGAGATCAAGCGACAAAGCGAAGCCAATGAGTTGTTCTTCGTCAAAAATGCCAAAAAGATCAATCTGGCCGATCTTCAAGAGAGCACTGGTAATATTTACACGTTTGGAATCATGGGAATGAGTGGGTCTGCTGTGGTCAATCTTCTGCGTCACGTGATCATGGAATACCGAGAGAAAGACAGCGGTCCTTTCTACCTCAAGTTTGCCGCTGATAAGAAATTCAAAGTTGAGCTTATGCCGACGCCACTTTTACCCGGAAATGGACTGATAAAAGTTGTCGGGCGATTAGAATACTATGATTATCCAGAAATGTGCCTTTTGTTGTCCAAAAGCGGGGTGACAAGCAAAGGCCTTGGAGATATGTGCTACAAATTGAACACAAGTGGGATGAAATCAGCGCTTTTCAACGCTGTAAGCCCCATGAACGAACTGCACTTTATGCTTCTTTTCGAAATCGCCAGGAGGCTGGTGCGAGGTGCAGATGGGAAGCCAATCTCGACTGATCCGCCGCTAGATCTACTTCCGGTCGGCGTAATCATCGGGCGCATAATTGAGATGTTGCGGTTGGAAAAAGACGCGGCACTAAGCTATGAAAGATTATTTGGAGCACAACAGGAGCTAAACTGGTTTACAGAGCCCAATATCATCCTGAAGCGGAAGAAGATGCAAGCCATCAATAGTTTGTATTTCGAAAAGTTTGTGAAGGGGCAGGCTGATGAAGTACCCTTCATTCGAAGATTTCTGGAGGAAAACAAAAATGGATACATTATAAGAACTTTACAGGGCTATCTTGACGAGTTAGAGGAAGTATTTGGCAAAATGTGACAAGTATTGTTAAGGTTTTTGACCAAGCGTGAGATCACGATGTCTGTATAATAGCTATTTGTACTGTAAAACGGGCAACAACAACAAAAAGCAATGTTGCGCGTTTTACCACCCACGAATCAAACCTGTCTTGCCACAAATCAGCCAATAAGCCATCTTCACCTATCCTTCTTGGCCAATGAAGGAGTTATTACCAGTGTGACAAGAACCAAATCTTTTCTTGTGGGACAACGGCGGGACTGATCCCGAGCGAACAGGGTAGGCCCATCTTGTAGCCAATCAGAACACAAGATTTGCTCCATCTTGCCCGCTTGAGGACTCAGCCATATAAAAGTTATTATCGGCTGTCAGGAAAAATATTTGAAGGCCGATTTGATTTGTACTTTCACAGCCATCAATCAGTCTTGAAACACGTCAAAAGACTTCAAAAAAACCACCGGGGAGGAGGGGGCGGGGACACAGGGGTGGAAAAGGCGGAAATGGCTCTTCGAGAAATTTGAATAATACATTATCCTAAGGTAGTCTGCGAGCAAGCTCTCCGAAGCGCTCTAGCGCTCCAAAGCGCACCGGAGAGCTTGCTTGCAGGCTAATTCTAAAGGAGCCTAATATGGGAACTGTTTTATTTTGATCATGACCTGGATCCGGTTGGGTTGTTCAAATAAAAGACGTGTTAAACTAATTCAATTTTTGAAGCAAGGACCAGCTTACAAAAAAGAAGGACCGTATCCTAATAAAGGATCTAATGAGCAATAAGTGAAAATATAAAACAAAATAACAGGGCCCGGGGGTGCACTTTCGGAATTTCTGGGTGGGGATGTGCCGCTGGGAGCCTGGAACCCTTAACCTTTACCAGAGCAAGTTCAGCTGAATTTTGCTACCCTATACTAGAGTAAACTCCCCAAATCTCCCCTATCCTAGAGTAGCTGTGTACCTAGTCTAGATAAAATCTTCAACCAACTGATCAGTTTCCTGAAAAATGATACCCTATTCTAGAGCCAAACGCTCTGATTTATATTACCCTATCCTAGAGTAAACTGCTTGAAAACCATACCCTTCACAGCGGCACATACCTATATAGCCCATATATGGCAGTACCCCCTCCCCCGGGAACAGGGGCACCCAACGAGAATATAGTTCAAAACCACTTAAACATAGCATTGTTAAACGTATTTTAGTATTTAAATGGTAGATATAGGCATATTTTTATGCCCTAAAAAATTTTTCATCTGTTCGGATTTCCTAGCTGAAAGTCTAGTGATCCGAAACTGAAAATTATAAGGATCAAAACTTACCTTTTCGAAAGTTTCAGCAAGAAAAAAGGCTCCCAAAAGTTCTAGGTGACCTTTTTAGGGTAAAAATCCGTTAAAAATGGGCAATTATACCATTTTTTAGATGTTCGAAAGTCCTAGGAGAGGGCGGGAAGCTAGAAATTTTACAACAAATTTCCCGAAAATTCTAGGTCTCAAATCGTCCTCCGAACAGATATTTTCCGAAAATTGACGTTGGGTGCTCCTGAAATAAGCAAGGCTGAGTTACAGTCTGGAATATATATATCATTTTACCAATATTTCGGAAGATACGGCCTTCATTCTTCAAGGTCTTACATATAAGCGGGTAAGCTAAGAGGTGTGTGTTAAACTAACCTCCGAAACCGGTGGTTAAATTTTAAAATTGCGTTATTCGAAGCGAGGTTAAAGGACATAATATCGTTACTCGAAATCAGATCATTCAGTGAGAGCTGTGCTTGTACAATACAGTCCGATAGTGGCTAAATGCTAAATTGTTTGGTATATTGGGAAAAACCACGACCGAGATCATTTCAAATCTTAGCATGCATGTTTCTTTATGAATTACCATAGTCAGCCAACAAAACAGGGTTACCCAACGACAATTTTTGGAAAAATATCTGTTCGGAAGACGATTCGAGATCTAGAATTTTCGGAAGATTTGTTGTTAAATTTCTTGCTTGCCTGCCTCTCCTAGGATTTTCGAACCCCCCAAAAGTGTATAATTGCCCATTTTTAATGTATTTTTACCCTAAAAAGGTCACCTAGAATTTTCGGGAGCCTTTTTTCTGGCTGAAACTTTCGAAAAGGTAAGTTTTGATCCCTATAATTTTCAGTTTCGGATCACTAGACTTTCAGCTAGAAAATCCGAACAGATGAAAAATTTTTAGGGGATAAAAATATGCCTATATCTACCGTTTAAATACTAAAATACGTTTAACAATGCTATGTTTAATAAGTGGTTTTGAACTATATTCTCGTTGGGTGCCCCTGATAAAAACATCATTAAAACACTACAGAACTAGCTTTGAGCCTAATAAAAAATCACTATGTTAGAAGCGCTGGAAGCGTTTCTTACGTATATATATAAAGACAACAATACTGGGTCGGAATGATAATGAAAACACTAGGAATAACTATACATAAAGTTAAGATAGGAGTATAACTGACGTTAGTGTTTCCTGCATTGGGGTTAAACTCATACATCAGCCTACTAGAAACAAAATCTTTTTTTATAGCCTCGCTTCCTTATAAAGAATGATGCTCATAAAGCATTCCTATCAGCATGACTAGAGTAACAATCAACTTAAAATTGATGCCGGCTTTGCTTGCTTTGTTGGGGTTGAATTCATACAGCTGAATCATTGTTCCATTCACTTGGTTTTCCTGTTGGGTGCAGTTTGCGTTTTCTACGACTGTGACATTATACCGAGCACGAGTCGTAACTGTGAAGTTCTTGTCTTTGACGTCTTCCAGTGAAACTGTGTTATCAACGCCGTACAGTCTGATTACGTTCTCTGGGTTTGTCTTGTAGATCACAGTCGTGTTTAGTTCAAATAGATTCTTTCCTATTCCGTCTTTAAGGGTCTGAGGTTTTGAGGAGTTTCCGAGACATAAGTGTCCGTTCGAATCTAGTAAACTCACTCTTTCAGATGATAATCTCACCGCTCTTTTTTCGGGAATTGACACGTATCTTTCACGGAGTGGAAACTCTTCATAGTAGACCGGAGCTTTACTAAGTGCATATTTCGTTACAAGATAGCCAGCTGTGGCTTTGGTGAAAAGTTTGGTTCGCGAACCGCGTTTTGCTTGAGACTTGATTACCGGAGTACGGAACGTGATCGGTTTTATTGGTGTAGTTTTGGTGATTTTAGGTGTTGAAGACGAACGAATCCGGCGAACTGAACGTCTTCTGCGGCTGCTTCGACTGGCTCGACTGGATCGACTGGCTCGACTGGCTCGACTCCCTCGACTACCACCACGACTTCTCCCTCCTCCACTGCGTCTCCGGGCCGCATCAACATCATGTAGCACTAACAGAGCAATAACTAAGACTGCGAGGACAGCCACTGTCAGTGGCTTCATACTTTTTGTAGGACCTACCGGAGCCGCCCAGGCAACCGTGAAACTCTCTGTATTAGAGGAAGTTAGGTGAAACAAAAGTAAAGCGCGAGACGATTTCCAAGCACCCGCAGAAATGAACTCAGTCAGGATTTCAACTATACTTTATATTTATATGCTTCTGGTTGGATTACTGTGATAAACACAACATTCCGATCCGGAAGCTCCTTTTACGTCATGACTAAAACCAAAACGTCTCTTTTTCAGTTCAAGTTATTCTCTGTTATTTTGCAATCGATTTCCGGAAAATTACTGCGGTCTCCACTTAATGTGGCTAAGAAAATAGGGCAAACCGGCATTTGACTTTCATGTGGAAGTAAAAAGCAGGACGAGGCCGAGCTAGCCTAGTCTGCTACACAGCCGTTTTTAGTGTCGTCCATGACTTGCTGGAAAGCATGTACATATCCTCGCGCCCGGAATCGCCGCGAAAACTGACGTCACAGTCAAGTTCTAGATACGTGATTGGTTTGTTCGTGAGACCGCAAACACATAGAGAAAAGGAATGTGGTTCGGTTTTCAGCAGCCGTTTGTGGGGAGGACCGTTGCGTGACGACACTAAAAACGGCTGTGTAGCAGACTAGAGCTAGGCAGGGTGATCAAAAACGTTTTTTGCGAAGAGGCTCGGAGGGAAAAAAATGCAATTGCAGTTGATAGTCTTATATTTACAGTAACAACTAAAAAAAATTCAGTCACGTACGGCTGGAAAAAATTCTTGTCCAGACCTGAATCACCAAACCCCCACCTCCTCAAAAGTGGTTGACCCCATAGTTAATCCAGTCACGATATCAGAAAAATGTGTTTCTTTGCGGTGATCCTTCAAGATTGTATCCTTTAGGGACGGACTCGCATTAGAAATAATCGGAGGGGTGGGGGGGGGGGGGGGGGGGGTTGGGGGGAAAAGAAATTCTTGGTGGGTGTGGGATTTTTTTTTTTTCCGGTTTTTTTTTACCCCCCGGGCGTTTAAAAGCGTTAGGCCATGGGCCTTTTTGCTACTTTGTCAAAAAATATCATACTGTACATCTATCATGGAATACCGAGAGAAAGACAGCGGTCCTTTCTACCTCAAGTTTGCCGCTGATAAGAAATTCAAAGTTGAGCTTATGCCGACGCCACTTTTACCCGGAAATGGACTGATAAAAGTTGTCGGGCGATTAGAATACTATGATTATCCAGAAATGTGCCTTTTGTTGTCCAAAAGCGGGGTGACAAGCAAAGGCCTTGGAGATATGTGCTACAAATTGAACACAAGTGGGATGAAATCAGCGCTTTTCAACGCTGTAAGCCCCATGAACGAACTGCACTTTATGCTTCTTTTCGAAATCGCCAGGAGGCTGGTGCGAGGTGCAGATGGGAAGCCAATCTCGACTGATCCGCCGCTAGATCTACTTCCGGTCGGCGTAATCATCGGGCGCATAATTGAGATGTTGCGGTTGGAAAAAGACGCGGCACTAAGCTATGAAAGATTATTTGGAGCACAACAGGAGCTAAACTGGTTTACAGAGCCCAATATCATCCTGAAGCGGAAGAAGATGCAAGCCATCAATAGTTTGTATTTCGAAAAGTTTGTGAAGGGGCAGGCTGATGAAGTACCCTTCATTCGAAGATTTCTGGAGGAAAACAAAAATGGATACATTATAAGAACTTTACAGGGCTATCTTGACGAGTTAGAGGAAGTATTTGGCAAAATGTGACAAGTATTGTTAAGGTTTTTGACCAAGCGTGAGATCACGATGTCTGTATAATAGCTATTTGTACTGTAAAACGGGCAACAACAACAAAAAGCAATGTTGCGCGTTTTACCACCCACGAATCAAACCTGTCTTGCCACAAATCAGCCAATAAGCCATCTTCACCTATCCTTCTTGGCCAATGAAGGAGTTATTACCAGTGTGACAAGAACCAAATCTTTTCTTGTGGGACAACGGCGGGACTGATCCCGAGCGAACAGGGTAGGCCCATCTTGTAGCCAATCAGAACACAAGATTTGCTCCATCTTGCCCGCTTGAGGACTCAGCCATATAAAAGTTATTATCGGCTGTCAGGAAAAATATTTGAAGGCCGATTTGATTTGTACTTTCACAGCCATCAATCAGTCTTGAAACACGTCAAAAGACTTCAAAAAAACCACCGGGGAGGAGGGGGCGGGGACACAGGGGTGGAAAAGGCGGAAATGGCTCTTCGAGAAATTTGAATAATACATTATCCTAAGGTAGTCTGCGAGCAAGCTCTCCGAAGCGCTCTAGCGCTCCAAAGCGCACCGGAGAGCTTGCTTGCAGGCTAATTCTAAAGGAGCCTAATATGGGAACTGTTTTATTTTGATCATGACCTGGATCCGGTTGGGTTGTTCAAATAAAAGACGTGTTAAACTAATTCAATTTTTGAAGCAAGGACCAGCTTACAAAAAAGAAGGACCGTATCCTAATAAAGGATCTAATGAGCAATAAGTGAAAATATAAAACAAAATAACAGGGCCCGGGGGTGCACTTTCGGAATTTCTGGGTGGGGATGTGCCGCTGGGAGCCTGGAACCCTTAACCTTTACCAGAGCAAGTTCAGCTGAATTTTGCTACCCTATACTAGAGTAAACTCCCCAAATCTCCCCTATCCTAGAGTAGCTGTGTACCTAGTCTAGATAAAATCTTCAACCAACTGATCAGTTTCCTGAAAAATGATACCCTATTCTAGAGCCAAACGCTCTGATTTATATTACCCTATCCTAGAGTAAACTGCTTGAAAACCATACCCTTCACAGCGGCACATACCTATATAGCCCATATATGGCAGTACCCCCTCCCCCGGGAACAGGGGCACCCAACGAGAATATAGTTCAAAACCACTTAAACATAGCATTGTTAAACGTATTTTAGTATTTAAATGGTAGATATAGGCATATTTTTATGCCCTAAAAAATTTTTCATCTGTTCGGATTTCCTAGCTGAAAGTCTAGTGATCCGAAACTGAAAATTATAAGGATCAAAACTTACCTTTTCGAAAGTTTCAGCAAGAAAAAAGGCTCCCAAAAGTTCTAGGTGACCTTTTTAGGGTAAAAATCCGTTAAAAATGGGCAATTATACCATTTTTTAGATGTTCGAAAGTCCTAGGAGAGGGCGGGAAGCTAGAAATTTTACAACAAATTTCCCGAAAATTCTAGGTCTCAAATCGTCCTCCGAACAGATATTTTCCGAAAATTGACGTTGGGTGCTCCTGAAATAAGCAAGGCTGAGTTACAGTCTGGAATATATATATCATTTTACCAATATTTCGGAAGATACGGCCTTCCTTCTTCAAGGTCTTACATATAAGCGGGTAAGCTAAGAGGTGTGTGTTAAACTAACCTCCGAAACCGGTGGTTAAATTTTAAAATTGCGTTATTCGAAGCGAGGTTAAAGGACATAATATCGTTACTCGAAATCAGATCATTCAGTGAGAGCTGTGCTTGTACAATACAGTCCGATAGTGGCTAAATGCTAAATTGTTTGGTATATTGGGAAAAACCACGACCGAGATCATTTCAAATCTTAGCATGCATGTTTCTTTATGAATTACCATAGTCAGCCAACAAAACAGGGTTACCCAACGACAATTTTTGGAAAAATATCTGTTCGGAAGACGATTCGAGATCTAGAATTTTCGGAAGATTTGTTGTTAAATTTCTTGCTTGCCTGCCTCTCCTAGGATTTTCGAACCCCCCAAAAGTGTATAATTGCCCATTTTTAATGTATTTTTACCCTAAAAAGGTCACCTAGAATTTTCGGGAGCCTTTTTTCTGGCTGAAACTTTCGAAAAGGTAAGTTTTGATCCCTATAATTTTCAGTTTCGGATCACTAGACTTTCAGCTAGAAAATCCGAACAGATGAAAAATTTTTAGGGGATAAAAATATGCCTATATCTACCGTTTAAATACTAAAATACGTTTAACAATGCTATGTTTAATAAGTGGTTTTGAACTATATTCTCGTTGGGTGCCCCTGATAAAAACATCATTAAAACACTACAGAACTAGCTTTGAGCCTAATAAAAAATCACTATGTTAGAAGCGCTGGAAGCGTTTCTTACGTATATATATAAAGACAACAATACTGGGTCGGAATGATAATGAAAACACTAGGAATAACTATACATAAAGTTAAGATAGGAGTATAACTGACGTTAGTGTTTCCTGCATTGGGGTTAAACTCATACATCAGCCTACTAGAAACAAAATCTTTTTTTATAGCCTCGCTTCCTTATAAAGAATGATGCTCATAAAGCATTCCTATCAGCATGACTAGAGTAACAATCAACTTAAAATTGATGCCGGCTTTGCTTGCTTTGTTGGGGTTGAATTCATACAGCTGAATCATTGTTCCATTCACTTGGTTTTCCTGTTGGGTGCAGTTTGCGTTTTCTACGACTGTGACATTATACCGAGCACGAGTCGTAACTGTGAAGTTCTTGTCTTTGACGTCTTCCAGTGAAACTGTGTTATCAACGCCGTACAGTCTGATTACGTTCTCTGGGTTTGTCTTGTAGATCACAGTCGTGTTTAGTTCAAATAGATTCTTTCCTATTCCGTCTTTAAGGGTCTGAGGTTTTGAGGAGTTTCCGAGACATAAGTGTCCGTTCGAATCTAGTAAACTCACTCTTTCAGATGATAATCTCACCGCTCTTTTTTCGGGAATTGACACGTATCTTTCACGGAGTGGAAACTCTTCATAGTAGACCGGAGCTTTACTAAGTGCATATTTCGTTACAAGATAGCCAGCTGTGGCTTTGGTGAAAAGTTTGGTTCGCGAACCGCGTTTTGCTTGAGACTTGATTACCGGAGTACGGAACGTGATCGGTTTTATTGGTGTAGTTTTGGTGATTTTAGGTGTTGAAGACGAACGAATCCGGCGAACTGAACGTCTTCTGCGGCTGCTTCGACTGGCTCGACTGGATCGACTGGCTCGACTGGCTCGACTCCCTCGACTACCACCACGACTT